CTTTTCAGCATTTATTCTGTTCACTGATAGACTGACTCATTGATCATTTATAAGTGGTTTATTTTATTCTCTTTATTTTTTAAAAATTAAACAAAAACATTCTTGTTACCATTTATGAATTAAAATCTTTCACACATTTAAACGTGTTCATGGTTTTGCTTTCCTGTAGAAATAATAAATTCACATAGTAATGTTCTGTTTCTGTCCCTGTTGTGTAAAAAATATATTTGACATGCAGCACTTACATCCTGTGTCCATCTTCATGCAGGTCAGCCTCTGCCCCTCTCTCCTGGTACCATGGGCTCTGCTATAATTCCCCCCCCCCCCCATCCATCATGGAGTTTGATAAAGCCAAAATATTTCAGTTTATGAAACAAGATGTTGTTTACTTGCCAAAATATTTCAGTTTATGAAACAAAATGTTGTTTACTTGCCAAAATATTTCAGTTTATGAAACAAGATGTTGTTTACTTGCCAAAATATTTCAGTTTATGAAACAAGATATTGTTTACTTGCCAATCCTCCTTTATGTTAAGATTTTATTAGGATGTCAGTATTTCTTGTCTTCTTTGTCATTGGTAGGGAACTGCTGTAGTGTGGCGGCTAGATCCTGGCCTGTGGATCTGAAGATCATGGGTTCAAATGCAAACAACTTTTTTTCCCAAAATATTATTGGACCCAACCTTAAATGAGTACCAGATAAAGTGCTGGGAAGTAAAGGTGGCCTATGTGATGTTGACAGCATTATCTACAGAGAATGCCGTTTAGTCTATAAAATATTGGTCTATATGTCCAATACACCTGAAGGTGTTGAAAAGGGTCCATTCCATGGTATTTAGATAATTTTTCTGTAGCATTTCAGCTCAGAAGCCTCTGTTATCTTCCTTAACTCTCTGTGTCCCTGGGGGTTTAGCATCAGAGGCTCAATGGGTGGTAATGCAGAGGCTTAAGGGGTGGTAATGCAGAGGCTCAAGGGGTGGTAATGCAGAGGCTCAAAGGGTGGTAATGCAGAGGCTCAAGGGGTGGTAATGCAGAGGCTCAAAGGGTGGTAATGCAGAGGCTCAAGGGGTGGTAATGCAGAGGCTCAAGTGGTGGTAATGCAGAGGCTCAAGGGGTGGTAATGCAGAGGCTCAAGGGGTGGTAATGCAGAGGCTCAAGGGGTGGTAATGCAGAGGCTCAAGGGGTGGTAATGCATTTTTTTAATTTCACAAGTGTAAGAAAATTAAACAGACCATACTAATTCAATGGCCGTGCAACATACACATATTATACATCAAAGTGACCAGGAATTGTTGAGGAATAATTATAGAATACAGCTACAAGAAATAATTGCGTCAGTAATAAAAAATACCCAAACTAATTTTGCCTAGAAAAAGCACACGACAGCCAGGGGCTGTTGTGGTTGGTTCTGCAACATCCTGTACAGGATGTGCAACTAACCTAATTAAATATTAGTACATAAACAGACGGTATGTTTACAAAAATTAGTAAAAGGAAATATAAAAAAATTTCACTTACCACCATGGCACTCAAGGAAAACTGGTTAAAATATATCCAAAATGAATCACAAATGAATATGAACCACTTAGTAATGTATAAGTAAAATATAAATTCAATCTGTACGTTAGATTTTGTTTCAAAGAATCATTTAAAGCATCATAACAGAGCACCATTATTTGGTAAAGAAAACTGACTCCCAAAACAATAAGTATCTTCACACAAAACCAAGTTTATATAACACTCACTTTGCTCGTAACTGTGTAGCAATGTTTCTAAGTAATAAGGAGAATAGCATTAGAACTAACTGACACTGAAGAAATTCGTCTTTTCACTAATGTTTATTCTATTTGTGCCAGCTGACTTTGCTGTTGTTGTACCCTTCGCATAAGGTACACATTAGGAATATCCCTCATCAAAGTTTGACTCAATAAATGACTGAAACACATCTAATTTGCTATGTTATCCATCTAACTTCGGATAAATCAAATAAACACGTACTTTATTTAAATTTGAGGCTTCTAAAGCCGTAAATCATGTTTGCATGCATGTAGAATACTGCCTTGTGACCAAATTATTTTCAAACAAACGCTTAGTAACTTAGTAAATCTCGCAAATATACTATATTTTCGGCTTTCAGACAAACGTTTTTAAATGAGCACCCCTGATATCAGACACAAAGAACTCAAAAGGAAGTTGAAATTGAATGGTCTGCGTTTTATGACCGGTCAATGGTAAATTAAAAACCTTCAATTGGGCCGGGCGGTTGTAACAAATTAGTGCATAATGCTTTCCCTGGGACTCAAAGAGTTAAGGTCTTCACGATAGCCCATGACATACATGATGGCTGTAGGGAAGACACATGTTTTCAAAACTGTGACTTTGATTTCCTTGCTAGTGCATAACCGTAGACTTATTGCTTTTAATGCAGTATGTATACAGAGAAAAACAACTGTGAATGCCACACAAACGTCACTAGCAAAGTCACAGTTAAATAAAATAATTAGGGGGAATAAAGAAAAGATTAATATTTGTCTGGGGTATGATATAAACAAAAAATTCATATACATCCGATTTTTAACAGTATATTATAAAAAGGTGTGCCAGTTCTCATGAATGAATACTGAGTATATTATAAAAGCCTCATAAATTTATAAAAATATCAGAACTGGGTTGTACAGACACAGTCCTTACTTAAACAGGACTACAGAAGTACATTCAGTTAGAACCTGGTGTAGTTATTATGGGTAAGCCAGTTATAACCTCTTTCTAAAAAATGGGTATCTGGAATTCGCCTTGTTGGTATGCCATCCTGGATGTGACTCTTTGAGTCACAGGGGTGGCCAGTCCTTTAGTTGGGAACCTTGAGCGGGAAAACAGACGGAAAAAATATTGAATCTATGATATGGCCAGGAATGTCCACATTTCCTGCTACCAATATTAGGCTGGGTCGGTCTTCGAACCTGTCATTCTTCCTGTAATTATGTGTGAACACATGACCATTGGCTAGCAGGCAGGCAAGCGTGCTACTGTATGACAGTGGTTCATACAGTTTTTGTGAATAAAATAAATTAAACTGTGTGCAAATATGATAACAAAATATGTATATGTTGATACAAAATAAAGATATAAAAATTATAATATAAATTGTATATGAATAAAACATTTAATAATTTATTTAACAAAAAGAAAAATAAATGTGATAAATTTAACTCTTTCAGTCCCAAGAAACGCGTCATACGTTCATAGATTCCTACCTAGACGCCCAATGAATGCAAGATGCGCCAATTTTACGTCTTTCTTGACTACCCCTTGGGCCTTTGATGCTAAACCCCCTGGGACTCAAAGAGTTAAATATGTATTCAACAAGGAACAATTAAAAAGAAGACAAATAAGATCAAATAAAATGTACATAATGTTAAAAATGAAAATGTACTTAAAAAATATCATCACCATTTGCTGTGCCAACAGGTGTAGGCTATTATGTTTTGCTATTTCAAATGATCACCTGAATCAGAGATCAGGACAGTGTTCTTGTCTTGCCCCATCCATGTGGCTAAGCTATCCAGGTGTTTATCTCTTTGCCTTCCCCTTCATCATAATCATCGTCAAGTGCCTTGCCAGCTGGCATAGGCGTTCATGCATCTCCACAGGTGTTCTGGATCTCGTTGACCTCTCTCTCTCTCTCGCTCTCTCTCTCTCTCTCTCTCTCTCTCTCTCTCTCTCTCTCTCTCTCTCTCAACAAAAAAAAGGAAAACAATGGCAAACTGCCTTCTTCAAGATGCCAGGAATAGTCATGATTTCACAATATTCACATCGTCAGATAAACAGTGTAAATGAGAGCTCCACAGGAGATGCCTTGCCCAGTAAGGCAGAAAAAAACAATAAAGGTATACACTGGATAATTAGATAGAGTAAATGTCTACAGTAAACTGTAATAACATTTTAGGTGTATATATATATATATATATATATATATATATATATATATATATATATATATATATATATATATATATATATATATATGCACGCGTGCGCACGCACACACTCATACACACATATCTATCAGAGGTTTTGCTTGCGTGCCAATGGTGTTCACATGTTTGAACTTCCTCAAAGCATACATTTTTTGCAATGTCCTAGGTTTCCAAATTGAAACAGATAACAAAGGTATCTTATACTGGAAGTTAAGGCAACCAGCACACTACCGACCATTACCAATCAAAATCTGACAATTCTAAAAAAAAAAAAAAGTGGGTTTATCACCACTATCTAATACATCTCATGCCATAGAAATGGAATCATTTGCTACCTTTCAATATCACAGAAGGCTTTTCTAAAATTAACGATGCAAAACAAAAACATATTTTTACAAGGAAACAATGTTCATCCATAATGCATTATTACATGTGATAGCAAAAGGTCATAACTCTTGTCTAACAAGGCGGTTATCAGCATCCTCCAAAAGAACTGGTCACTGGGACATTCCAGAGGGTGTAATCATACTATCTTTGTCTTATAGTCCATGCTGTGTGGTGATGGTAGGCATGTCGATCCTCAACATTCTGTCTTGTTTACTTTCTATCAATTCTGACACTGACGGTCTTCCATAGTCAATACAGTGTGGCGTTGGTATTCATGTCTATCCAGAACGTTGTGTCTCAAGTATTTTCAATCAGTTCTGACACAGATAGTTTCTTTACCATTATGTAAAACTGCCCAGCATCTTTTTCGTTGGTCTCCCTTTGCCTCTTTTCCCACCATCACAATGTGTTCAAATTTTCTTCTTTTCATCACATGATCAAATAATGTAGATTGTCTCAGTGATGTTATAGAACTACCTCAACCCTTATCACTCAATTTTCTTGAGAAAAGAAAAAGCAGAAGAGAAAGAAGACTTAACTAATAAGTCATGACCTTAAATATGTACAGGAATAACATTTCACACCTGACAGATCTTCTGGACACAATGCTCCTTATAATTCTATAGATATTTTGGCTCAGATCTCCGCTTCTTCATCACCACTGCCCTTGTCTAAAGAACTCATACTCAGGGATCGTACGCCAAACAGAGGGTTGTCATTGCCCTTCTGAAATGTGTCAGTGAATGTCCAACCTGCCATGTGCAGGTTGATGAAATCCCATAGGGTTTTGTAGCAAAACCGAAGCTGCTCCTGAAAATATTAAATAGGTTTTGTTAAAAATATGTTGAGCTTAAGAATATAATAAAATCTGGCATGCTCTTGTACCTTGTAACACTAGTTATGTAAAGTAAAGTAAAAGTAAAGATCCCTTTTCACGCCTTAGGCGCATCGGGCACATGGGAAGAGAGTCCCATATTTTTTACAGACCAATCGGCACTGTGTGGGTAAAGTGGTCAGTATTACCCCGGCTGTCTTGACTTTCCCAGGACAGCCATCCTGGTACCCATTTTTAGCAGGGTTGACCTGCGACGCCCGGTACCATGATAACAACCCACACAACTAGCAGTGCGTTTCGATCGCGGTATGTTGGAATTACGAGTCGGACTTACAACGCCTAAGCTACGGACGCTGCTAACGCCAGTTATGCATACAGTTAAAGTAATTTCTGAAAATATGGCAAGATAATATGAGAAGTCCAAAAAAAGCTGATAATGAAATCATAAAGGAACTAGAGACAGTGGAAATACAGATTTAGTTCAGAATACTGGGACTGCTGTGGACAGAGAATAAGACAAAAGCTGGGTTTGTTCTGTTCTCAAAGTCATGGTTGTTCTTTTCTCACTGTAAATTTCTGTTGTTCCCAATGACTGATTTTTCCTCCATCTTCACAGTGAAATGTTTGTTGTGGTCCAAGTGCCACATGTATGTACTCTTTTCAGAGTCATATGTCTGTTTCATACCTGGCATCATATTATTTGTTCTATTTCCGGTGTCACATGTGTATTCTGTTCCCTGTTTAATAGGTTTTTATCTATTTTTGACATTACATGTTTTGTTTAAGAGTACCAAACAAGGTCAGTGGACACTAAGGGGTACCTTTTGCCATTATTTTTTTTCTTCTGTTTTCTTGTAAACTTGACTGTCACAATGTGTTCAAGTTTACAGATAGGCTTGGATATCCCTACCTTTTAGCCCAACTCATCTGATTTTCCGCAAACTAAAGAACTGCTATGTGGTCAGCTCACATTCAACACTTTTGTATATGCAGTTTTTCCCCTATGTTAAGCCAAAACATGGATGCCAGACAACTTTGTGAAAATTGTGGCAGGCAGCGGTGCTAGACTTATGATGACTTTCAATAGAAGCTGAACTCCATTCCTGTGGCACGTTTTATTAGTGAAGAAAATAGCATTACTTCTGGGGGGTAAAGAACAGACCCACCGCCCATCCTTCCCCAACAAGCATGTCATAAAAAGTAGTTTTCACTATTCGGCTGAATACGAATAGTGGGACCAACTATTCGGCCGAATATGAATACGAATAGTGTATCATCATCATCAGGTGTAGCGATTTTGCCTCGCCACAATCTGCGATCTCCTGCAGCATGTATCAGTTTGTGTGCTGACACACCTCCATGACATGCAACGACTGTCAAGAATCTTCTCTCGTTGTCTTTTTCTATCTCTCCTTCCACAAATCTTTCCAGTGGTCACCACATGTTCCATTTTCACTCTTTCTATATGATGACTGTCTTCTTCTGATGTCTGCGATTAGTTGTTTTCGGGCTCCCGTCTCTTTCAAAACCTAGTGGTTGCTTTTTTTAAGCTGTCCAAGGTATTTTAAGCATTGTTCTGTAAAACCACATCTCTGAGGCCTCAAAAAATTGTTTGGCCTGGCTACCGATTGTCCAGGACTCAAAGCCATATGTTAAAACTGGATGTATGTAGCAAGCAAGATAATGATATATTGCACAAGATGTTCTTTTTTTTTAAATATAAAATGCATTTTTAGCCTGTCCTATTTTGTTTTTATTTTAGTAATGCATCTTTCATCTGATTTTATCCATGTGCCAAATTCGCATTTAAATCATTTTTCGTTCAGGCTTTCGTTCAATGTAATTTAAATGCACCTTAATATTCTCGTTTGCAATATCTTCAATTTGATTTGGGAAAAGACACCCCGAAAGAACAAAAAAATGCACTCTCTCTCTCTCTCTCTCTCTCTCTCTCTCTCTCTCTCTCTCTCTCTCTCTCTCTCTCTCTCTCTCTCTCTCTCTCTCTCTCTCTCTCTCTCTCTCTCTCTCTCTCTCTCCCTCTCTCTCCTCTCTCTCTCTCTCTCTCTCAAGCACGCACGCACGCACGCACGCACGCACGCACGCACACGCACACGCACACACACACACTTTCAAGTTTCTTCATGCCTTCTTTAACACAACAGTAGCGATGCCTAAATCTTTCGTAGCGGGAAAAACGGCGACCCGTTTGCGTGGTAACAGCACCTGACTCCAAGGCATTACAGCAGAGGTTCTAAAACTGGGTGCGTATGACAGGTGTGCCGCGGCAAAAATCAAGAAAAGTCGGCTATAAATTGTGACATTATTAATGAGAGAGTTATTTTAGTCAATCGCAGTGTATGCAGAAATCACTATTCGTATTTGGCTCAACCACCACTATTCGGCCGAATACCGAATAGCTAGTAGGTCCACTATTCGGCCCCTAAGCGAATACGAAGCGAATATTAGGTACAGCCCTAATAAAAAGTGACCAGCCAAGAATCTGGTGAAACTGGAAGTGTAGGCCGAAAGGCACAGATATCACAGCCTAGGTGTAAACCACAAGACAATGTGCCAGTGTCACTTCTTAAGTGAACCCAAAAAAACAAAATAGTTGACTGTCGTGACCTGTTTTAGGGGTTTGAAGGTCAAGAAATGTAGTATAATAACGTTAATAGTGATAGAGTTCATTATGTGAATTGTGAAAACATTTGAGAGGCAGTTTGTTCTCATTTTTGTTTCATATGAATTGCAGTGTTAACGTGCTTCCAGTTTTTCAATAATGAATTGCAACGCTGTACTCATAAATGTTTTTAATCATGATTCAACAGTGAACTGCACTTATGAATGCTAGAAATCATCATTCAACAATGAACTGCGCTCATAAATGTTAGTAATCATCATTCAACAGTGAACTGCACTGCTGCTCTCATAAATGTTAGTTAATCATTATTCAACAATAAACTGCACTCATAAATGTTAGTTAATCATTATTCAACAATAAACTGCTCTCATAAATGTTAGTTAATCATTATTCAACAATAAACTGCACTCATAAATGTTAGTTAATCATTATTCAACAATGAACTGCGCTCATAAATGTTAGTTAATCATTATTCAACAACGAACTGCGCTCATAAATGTTAGTAATCATCATTCAACAATGAACTGCACCGCTACCCTCATAAATGTTAGTTAATCACTATTCAACAATAAACTGCACTCATAAATTTTAGTAATCATCATTCAACAGTGAACTGCTCTCATAAATGTCAGTAGTCATCATTCAACAATGAACTGCACTCATAAATGTTAGTAATCATCATTCAACAATGAACTGCACCGCTGCCCTCATAAATGTTAGTTAATCATCAAGTTCAGGGAGTCAGAGAGATAGTATAAGCAAGTAGAATTGGGTAATTGTGTCAGGGCGACCCTTGTACAGACCTTGCAACATGCCTTTCGCCTCCTGACAATGACAATAATAAAAATTACTCACATAGTCTGAAAAGAACTTGGGTTGTCTTCTCTTGCAGTGTTTGATGGTTCTGTAGACATCAACTTCTCCTTCTTCCTCCATCTTTTCACACAAAATAGCCAGGACAGCAAAGAGGCCAGAATGAGAAGCACCATTTTGACAATGAATTATAACTGGCTTCTCATCCTGGCATATTTCATCTTGCCAGGCAAACACTCCATTGATCAAATCCAGTAATTCTGTCCGTGATGGAGGTGTTATGTTTTGTGGAGCCCATGATGTGAATTGAAACTGCCTGACCAGTCTCGCTGGCTCTTTAGGGAACTGTGTGCTGCGAATGCTGAAGTTGCGAATGGTGATACTCTCTTGTTGATATGTTGCAGTTGTTTCAACAAAGAAAGGTTCAAACAGTTTTAGATTCATACTGGGCCAATACTCAGCACAAGAATTATCTTCATTTTTGAAATCTTCGGCCATTACAATCGTGCGGACATCATAGTCATAAACCAGTTTCCAGAAATCGGTGATGGTTGTGTGAAGTGGTGTTTGTGTGATGATGAAGTGGTTTTTCTGAAAGTAGCTATCTAAAAACAGAGCATTGATGTAGTCAGTTGAGTTCAATCCACCTGGTGATTTCAGCAAGGGGCGGAACTTTTCTGGTGGAAGGATATCCTTGAACCTGAAATAAACACAGAAATTAGATGAAATGAAATGAAACTGCATGGGTAATAAAGAACCTGTGAATGGTAAATCAGCAGCATTTAGTGAGATACCAACTGAATTAATTAAAGTGGGAGCGGGAGATAGCATACAAATCTATCGCGCATTATGAAAAAAATATAAAAATATGGTATATGGTCAAATGATTGGAAGAGAACTATTTTCATTCCAATACCACAAAAGGGGCAACCTGAAATTATGCACCAACTATAGAACTGTTGCTCTGATCAATTATGCAAGTAAACTTCTACTAAAAATCATAATGGGAAGACTTCGTAAGAAAATGGAAGAAGAGATTAATGTGGTTCAAGCTGGTTTTAGATGAGGAAGAGGAACAAGAGATCTAATCCTCAAAATACATTAAACAATAGAGAAGTCCAGAGAATCTAATGTAAACCTATTCTCATGTTTTGTGGATTATTCAAAAGCATGTGACTGTTTACAACATCACAAACATTGGAAAATCATAAGGAATATGAGCTTTTCATCACATGTAGTACACCTCATAACAATGCTCTATCTAGAACAACAAGCAGCAGTTAGAATATATGGTGAGACATCAGACTGGTTTGACATCAAGGGCTGTGTGCTGTCACCCTATTTGTTTAACCTGTACACCAAAAATTTAATGAGAAATGTCAGAGTTGATACAACCAGAGAGCAGTATGAAGCCCTAAATATTAGTGATTATGAAATACCAGAGATCTGATATGCCTATGATGCAGTATTGCTGTCCACATCACAGACTGGTATAGAAAACTTAATAACCTCAACTTAAAAAAATAGTGAACTTATATCTTAACATAGCAATAACAAAGATAATGCATACAGATAAAACAATTATGGAGAAAGAAATATATGTTAATGAGGAAAGATTGGAGGTTGTGGAAAATTTTGAATATCTTGGGTCAATGATTACCAACAATGGTGAAATAATAAAAGAAATTAAACAACAACTATAAACTGCTCTTCAAAGACTAAAAAAAACTGAATAAATTATGTAGTGGGATAGGCAGAACTATAAAAATTCATAAGCCATCCACCATCGTTTATCTTGGTCTGCCTCTGCCTCTTCTACCAGTGATCTTTCCAGAGCCATGCAGGGCAATTTATTTATTACATCTGGATTAGTTAGAAAATGTGAGAACTGATTTGATTTTTCTGGATTTTAAAAAAGGTAACCATTGATTCATTACATTTGGATTTTTTTTTTTTTTGTATGTGACTATTGATTTATTGCTTTTGGATTTTTTGAAATGTGAGGATTCATTTATTATATCTGGATTTTAACAAATGTCACAACTGATTTATTACATATGGATTTGGAGAGAAAAAAAAGTGATGACTGATTTGTTGCATTTGGATAAATTTTTTTTTAAATTGTGAGAATTGATTTATTACATTTGGATTTTTATTTTAAGGCAATAGTTGATTTACTGCATCTAGATTTTTTAAAAAAAAGGTAAAGGTAATCAGTTAATCAGTGGATCATTAAATCACAGTTCCAGCTTCACATGAAACAAGTCAGCCCATGGTTGCTCTGCTCCTGTGCCAAATAAACACCACACGGAATGTCCCTTACTGTCCCTTGTGAAAATTTTGACACAGACTGCAGTCTTAGCAAATCCAATAGCATAAACATGCATTAAATGCATAAAGCAGCTGTCAGAAGTGCCAACTCAAACAGTTCAGCACTGGAAGTGCAGTCTTCATCATGGACAGAAGCAGCAGTTACAACAGATCAGTAGCGGCACACAAAGGTTAAGGTTGTTCCATATCAGTTACTGCTCTTGGCCTGTGTGGAGAGTGTTATGCTTTGAATACTGAAAGTTGAATTAAGAATCAACATTACAGCACTCTGGACATTACCATAAGTGCTCGGTCCCCATCTTCAGCAGCAAGCAAAGAGTTAAAATTCTAACGGCACCAATAACTCTCTGATTGTATATACATTAGAAGGGGCAGGATCAGAGATGATGTTATCAGGAAACAAGCTGAGCAGAACCAGTATTAAAGAGAGACAACAGATTAAATGGCTCAAACATGTATCAAGACCAGTTAGTACAACACACAGAGCCCTGAGACGTAGTGAAATCAGATCTAGAGGTTGGCCAAGTATTTCAAAGTCCACAAATGCCAGCATCTATTTAGCACATACCAAGGCTCTCACCAGATGCCTCTTCACCACTTGGCGCTGAAAGGCAGTACAGGACTAGAGAAGAAGAAGCTGAGAAAGAGAAGAGCAGATTTTTTTGTGTTAGTACATCTGACTAAATGTAATAAACAGTGAAACACAACATGCAATGGTTAAGACTCATGAGAATAGGAGGGAACAGGTCATAACACATCACATTTTGTTTGGCACTCAACAATGTATTTTAAACAAAATAACAACTTACCTATTCTTTTGTACATTGATATCAAGTAGGGCAGTTCTGTATTCTTCTTGTGAAGGTCCCTTGGAGAAAGCCTCCAGAAGCTGCTGCTGGTCTCTGAGATATGTGTGTCCAGTTTCAGGGTTCTTCTGTGTCCAGTTGTGATATCGCTCCTGCAGGTCAAGTTTGACAAGTGTATCTCCTGCATGATATTCTTCAAATATTGCTTCATAAATGAACTTGTACTGTTTTTCGGTGCGCACCATGTATGGGCGATTTTTGCGCATCTTGCTGACAAAATCAAACACTCTGACTCTACCTTCAAGTGCGTACTGTTCTATAAGAGCATCTACTGCAATAAATACACCAGTTCTGCCCATTCCTGTTCCGCAATGAACAAGAATGGGACCTGGTCCATCATGATGGTAGTGCCGCACTTTGTAACGCATCTCAACAAATGGAATTGGGTCATCGGGGACACCATGGGTTGGCCATGATGTGAACTGAAATATCTGCACAATTTTGGAATGTTCTTCATCCTTCTTCCTCACACCCACTGTTCGCACGATGAAGTCAGCATACTCTTTAACTTGAATGGGATGCAGGAGAAAGCTGCCAAAAGTTGTACTGGTGTTCTCAGGCCAGTAGTGAGTGCACTTCACAATGCCATCTTCCAGCACATTAGTTAACATCACCACAGTCTTGATGGAGCTAAGAATATACAAGAACACACAAAAATAAGTTAGTTGTGTATCCTTTACAGGACATTTCAGAACAAACATCAGCATTTTTTGGCTGTTGTGGTTTGCCACTGCTTTCTAAATGGTCAGCTCTTGGTACTACTGTCGAAACCGATGTAAGATGGTCTGCTGGAAAATCGCCCGCAGCTCGGATTGAACCAGGCACATCAGCATTACGAAGCGCAATTCTCAATGCTTAATACACAGACACCAGCACAAGAACAAATATTCAGCTAGAAGAAAATTAAAATATAAAATGTATTTCTATTTTTCTTAATGTAGTTTTGATTCTTTTTTATCTTTTCACACTTTTTTATTTTAAATTGTATGTATGCACACTTTCTTTAGTGTTTGAAAAAATAAATCTTGTTTCAGCTGAGCTTGATGTATTTGTAGGATGTTGAATGTTCATTACAGCACTCAAGACATTTCCATAAGTGTTCTGTCCTCATCTTCAGCAGCAAGCAAAGAGTTCCAATTCTGATGGCACCAGTAACAGTCTGATTGTATATTCCTATTGCCTTTTCCTGGAGTGTTGAGCATCAGCCAGATCCACCGGTTACTCTGCACAGCACCGTACTTCTCAGACAGTGATGATCTGCTTGTGCATCCGCATTGTTTCCTTACTTTCAAAGGACTCTCACAACATCTAGCTAGTCATGTATCAGTAGTTTACCACCACCACATGCTGCAAGATCAGCCAGGTCTACCTGCCTGTTCATTTTCCAGTATACTTGCAGTTTAAACAAGTTTGTTGCCTATCCTTTACAACCAACTCCAGCACTTTTTGGTTGTTGTGATTTTTTTCTAGGCACATTTTACGTTCAGTAGTTTGCCATTGCTACTGAACAGTCAGCTCTTGGTGTACTGTCGAAACCAATGCAAGATAAAACATCTGCAGCTGAGATCAAACCTGGCCCCTATGAAGCACATTCACAATGTCTAAGCCATAGGCGCCAACTATACCCACAGTACCTGGAGAAAATATCCAAATGATGCTAATACTCTGGATGTTTGAAGTGATGCTTGCTGCCCTGCTTGGAGCACAACCTGTCTCTATCTTTCTCAACATGCCCTTTGAGTCAATTACAATTTGAACATGTGTAAGGTTGGTTCTCAAGCCAGGAGAAGGTTGCAGAGACTGCCTCCATCTCCATTCTGAAACTAGACATTACGGTATAATATGCCAGGATTTGTTGCACTAAGCAACATTCATTCACTTTTGCTATAAACCCCCATGCATTTTGTCCCCCACTCAGCACAGAGCCATCTGTATAGAAGATAATCACATCACCTGTGCAGGAATTGTCATGAATCATTTATTGAACTGATTCTGCAGCACCTGCTGGCCTGCCCATGCACTCAAGGCCCAATGTTATCAGAACCATATACAAGTCTGATTTTTGCACAAACACCTTTCCTTGTGTAGGTTCGAGGGCCCCATTGTTGGGGGGGGGGGGGGGGGGGGGGGACAAGAATAGACCCACTGCCGCCCCAATAAGCATGTTGTAGGAGTTGACTAATTGGGGGCGTCCCTCGAAGTCAGAGTGCATTTGCCTAAGTGGCAAGGAACAACCAACTGCACACAAATAAGCCAGTAAAATGGATGTTCATGCAAAACTCAGGCCCTGGAACAAAGCCAAAGTCCAAATTGACAAACTAGGACTTTCCACTGAAGCTTGCAGCTGATGAACAAAGAAGAAGAAAAAGTAGAAAAAAGAAGAAAATTATCACACGCACACAAAAATACAAAACAAAAAAACTTACTGCTGGAAAATCAGCCTCCAGAAATCCAGTGTGGTTGTTTCATCGTATGGACTTTGAGCTGCAATGTATGTTGGTCCATTTTTGTAACCAGAAATCCAACTAGCATTAATGTATGTTCTTCGAGAACTGATATCAGATTTTAGCTTCACAAGACTGCGGTCACAAGGCAGAAGCTGGGGAAATCTGTTCAGATCCCTGTTTCTCTGAGCTATATTGTCTGCTGATCTCTTCGGTTTTCGAGGAAGATTGTGAAACTCATCACTGAAACAGACTTTTGGTGAGTTGGTGTAAGACTCTGCCTTTTTGTTTGCATAGGGAGGTTGATCGTCTTTGTATATAAGATGCCTACCAGCTATAATATGCCTGCTATCTTTCAGGTTATAGATAGTTTTCCAGTAACTTTCTGGCTCATAGTCATCCTTCAGTTTAGGAGGGGTTAATAAGCTTTTGTCATCTTGTTGTATTGTGTAGGGATTAAATCTGTTTCTCTTCCACCACCAATATAAGAACAGAAGTAAGATTATAAACAGAATCAAAATAACAAGTGCAGTAATGACTCCAATAAAAACACCTCTGTTGTCTTCCCTAGAAGTCAGTGGTACAGTTCTGACCGCTGGTTGCAGGCTAGAATAACTATATTTCGTGACATCACCCACAGTACTGATGACCACATAGTGAATCATATACTCAGTTTCACTGTTTAGAGGCTTGTTTATGAAACCTCCATAATCCTTGCCATCTCCGACAACAAATGTTACTGTACGTGGCACGTCACTCTGTATAAGCTGGGCTGTGACATAGCCAGGTACTTGAGCTAGTCGCTTACGTCTGCTGCTGGAGCCAGCTTGTACTTGAAGCTGATAGGCTGTTAGAGGGGCATCTGTTAAAATTACTGGCTCTATAGAGATCGTAATTGTTGTAAATGTAGCAGAGACAAATACTGGCGCTGTTGGCTTGCGAGGTATGTTGTGTTCTATGAAAGAAGAGACAACATAACATTCATCAAGTTATATAAAACATTAAAAGCAGCATCAAATAATCCTGATAAGCAAAATTAAATATCTCATACAATGCATATTAATACCCACTCTATGCTACTAATTATAAATTCCATACATAGATAGCAAATCAAATAGTGAGAATGTCTTGTGAAATCAAACCATATGTGGCATATATAAAAATGGAGAAGGATGTAGAGCACAATGTAGACAAGAACAAGAAAGATAACATCAAAGAAACCCTACAACAGCATTTTGGTTGAGGCAGTCAGAAGAGCAAGAAGCAAAACCTATTATCTCCCTTGACACACAAAGCACTTCTATTAAGCATGTCATAAAAGGCAACTAATTGGGAGTTTGTTGAAGTCAGATGTGTTGGATACAAAGGCACAGATATCACAGCCTGGCTATAAACCACAACGTAACTGAATATTAAGAACTAACTAACTAACTAACTAACTAAGTAACTAAGAACTGACATTTTTTGACAGCACATGTTTATGTGCTAATAAGAAAAAAAAAGAAAAAGATAAACCACAACATAATGTGCCAACCACCCTTCTAAAAGCAAACAAAGAAGAAGAAGAGTTCCTGTAACAATCTGCTTGTGTTACACAGAAATGACTACTAGCATCATAATAAATCAGTCTACATTTTTCAAGCAAGTCATGAAAAAAAAAGTGAGTACAGTTCAGTGTGAAAGAATAAAAGATGCCTGTTGCACACTTTAGAGATATCTTACAGGCAAGGAACTGTAAGGTTCTTTCTTTGCCTTCACTGAATAGAGAAACTGGAATGTGTTGTGAGCACTGGAAAAATCTGTGGGCCAAGAGACACAGGATGAAAAGGTGAGCAGCTTCTTGACAGCCTTTTGTCATGATATGGAGGGGTTGTCAGTACAAGAACTGATACATGCTGTAGGAGAATGTAAGTTGTGGAGAGGCATGATCGCCCAAACCAGTCGGCAAAGTACTTGATGGTGATGATGAGGCTAAGACTGACCACATTTGCAGCAAGATTAAGAAAATAATTTAGAAGCAACTATAACATATTTATACTACAAAGATATGGGTAGAGCCAAGAGACAGTTCAAGCCACAGGGCATGAATATCTCAGGTACCTGTGGTAAAGGGAGTCACTATGGTGTAGCAGCTAGATGTCTGCCAGCAAACAGAAAGTCCTGGATTCAAGTCCTGATGGAGCCAGATTTTTTACAATGACCTTGGCTCCCAGGTCAACCCAGCCCTAAATAGGTGCACGGTAAAGTCCTGGGAAGTCAAGGTGGCCTACTTGATGTTGACCACATCCCCCTCCATTGTGCCGACTGGTTTATAAAATTGAGGGCTAGCCCTATATGCCCACACGTCTAAAGGCGTGGAAGGTCTTTTACTTGACTTACCTGTTGCAAAAGTTTCTGAGGCAGCTGTTAACACTCCTCCAGGGGTCTGGGCTATGATCCCAACAGTGTACATTGTGTAGGGAGTCAAGTTACATTCCTGGTAGTTCTCTGTTGTTGCTGGCAGATTTCTTGTTGTCAGAAATGTTTCATCACCAATTCTCTTCAAGTTTAGCTGCGAAAAAAAATATGTACCTCATACAATCATCTTCACCATCATCATCATCATCATCATCACTGTCATCATCATCATCATTGTCATAATCATCACTGTCATCATCATCATCATCATCCTAATCATTGTCATCATCATCCTCATCATCATTGTCATAATCATCACTGTCATCATCATCATCCTCATCATCATCATCATAATCATTATCATCATCATTGTCATCATCATCATCATCATTGTCATAATCATCACTGTCATCATCATCATCATCATCATTCTCATCATCATCATCATCATCGTCATGGGGTTCAGAGGGTTCCTGAAGTGAAACCATAGGAATTCCTAGAAATTTATTTTAAAAACAAACATTTTACATAGGTCACTGATAAATTTTTTTAATATAATAATTTACCTACATTTGCTTAAAAATAATATAAAAAGATATTTAAAAAGAGGTAACCAGTTAATATGAACATTGTGAAGAATTAAAGGGAATTTGTCCCCGGGTAAATAAAAAAAATACTATCTTTGACTCATGTTGTGACCTCAATCACTGAAGCTGATTTGTAACGTCTGACATTCAAATTGGCTTTAAAAAAAGCCACTAAAGTCATACGGAACCCCTCCCCCACTAAAAGCTATTTTTAGTTACTATATTCATATCCTGGCCTTTAAAACACTGTACAGATGCATATAGAACACACAGAATGTAACCACACTTTCCAAAAATAGGTCACTGCTGACAGGCTGATATATGAGCATTTATGGGACTGTGTCACAACCTGAAGTAACAAGATTTAGTCTTCTCAGGGCAACAGGGTTGATAAACAACAAATAAGTGAATTTACAACTCACAATAAATCCAGTCGTGTCACTCTTTGTTCCTTGCAAAATTTCCCATTTAACATTGAGGCAGGTCATATTTCTACTGATGACTGAAATCAAAAGAGGTGGAGATAAAGCTGGGTCAAAGGGCACTGTTAAAATGGCAGCTTCCAGCTGTGACCAGCTTGCTGTTGTGTCGCTGTTCAGCGTGCTTACAGCGATGTAGTAAATCATGTAGTAGGAATTTGGCTCCAGTGCCTGCATTCAAATTTGACAGAAAAGAAAATATTAAAAACAAAATGTTCAACAACTAATATATGCTGCTGCTGCTGCTGCTGCTGCTGCTGCTGCTGCTGCTGCTTCTTCTTCTTCTTCTTCTTCTTCTTCTTCTTCTTCTTCTTCTTCTTCTTCTTCTTCTTCTTCTTCTTCTTCATCTTATGCTTCTACTTGTTCTTTTTCTTCTTTTTCAGCATTTTGAGGCTTTGAAGTTCATTACCACAGATATCACCCGGCACCATTCCTTTTTATGATTGCCTTCTTTTTTCCAATTAGTGACCTCAAGTGTCTGTAGGTTTGCCTGCATATTATCTCTCCACTGTCTTTTTATTTTGGTCTGCCTTGTGATCAACTCCCATTTGACTCATTTGTATACACAATATATTCTCTCTGTTATCTGCCATTCTCTCTATATGTGCCAACAACTGCAGTCTATGGCAGTGATTCCCAAACTGTGTGCCACGGCGCCCCAGGGAGCCACAAACTCTTCTCAGGGGCACGAAATATTTGAAGATACACAAGTTTTATTTGTTTTGATCTCTTACGAACAAAGTCATACTTTTACTCAGGTTAGGGCGCTGTGGAAAAATTTTAATTGGAAAAAGGCGCACGACCAAGAAAAGTGTAGGAATCACTGGTCTATGGAATCAAATCCAGCACTTTTAGCTTCTCTCATCAACATTTGCCATAGAGTGTCTCTTGGAGGTCTTTATTTCCTCAGTCCATCTATTTCCCGTTTTAATGCCTGTTTGGTGATTCTCTGCTGGTAATGACATGTAGTCAGTATTATCTGGATCACATCTCTTATCAAGAGTTAAATGGTCTATAAACATTTGAAGCTAGATCCATGTGTCAAATATCTTAGTCTTCTTCTTCTTCACTTCCTCTTCCTGTGGGTGTCGAGGGAGATATAAGGTTTTGTTTCTAGCTCTTCTGGCCGCCTAGACCATAGGCACATCGTGCTGTTGTAGAGTTTCTCTGGTGTTATCCTTCCATCTTGTTCTTGGTCTATCTCGTGCTCTACGTCCCTTTTCTCTTTCCATGTATGCTTTGTATGGTATAGTGTCACAAGGCATTCTCTCTAAGTGGGCAAACCATTACACCTGCTGTCTTCGTATGTATTTTAGAATTGGTTCTGTGCTGACTTTTTTTCTTATGATCTCATTCCTGATCTTATCTCTTATGGTCACTCCTATAGCCCTTCTCAGACATCTCATTTCCGTGGTTACTAAGTTTCTTTTATGGTTTGTTGTGAGTGACCATGTCTGGCACTGGTAGCACAGAGTTGGAATAAATATGCTTTGAATAAGATTTCTCTTTGTGCTGATTGAGATTGTCTTATGCTGTAAGAGGGGTGCTAGCTGTCCCAATACTTGGTTTGCTTTACTGCATCTAATGTTAATTTCTTTATCCAATTTCCCATCTTCGGTAAATGTAGTTCCCAGATATTTAAACTCAGATGCCTGTTTAATGCCTTTGCACTCTATTGCTATGTTTAGATCTGTCTTCTTTTTTCCTATTGACATTACTTCTGTCTTTTCAGTGTTGATTCTCATATTATTTGTTTTACATTCTTCATTCATGGATGTTAGATGTTGTTGCAATTTCATGGCTGTATCTGCAATCAAGGCCTGGTCATCTGCAAAGAGTAATTCGTTGATCTTACTAACATTTTCATTCATGGGCTTGGCATTCTTGCATAAACTGTCGATGTAGGTGATAAACAGCAGTGGTGATAATACACACCCCTGTCTTACTCCAGATGTTACTGTGAATGGATGAGATGTTCCCTGATTTATTCTAACTACACTTCTACAATCCCTGTATAAACTTTTGCACACTTCGATGAGGTGTTCGCTTACTCCATATCTTGCCATTACTTTCCATAATAATTGTCTGTTGACTCTGTCAAATGCCTTTTCCTGGTCTACGAATACCACAAATGAGTTCTTATTGTATTCAATGTTCTTTTCTATTAACTGTTTAAGTGTGAAGATTGCATCTGTGAAGCTTCTATTTCTCCTAAATTCCATCTGTTCTTCTGCCAGCTGTGGTTCAATCACTGGTCTCAGTCTTGTTTCTATTATCTTGGCATACATTTTGCCAACATGGCTTAAAAGAGAGATGCCTTGGTATTGACCGCATTCTCGTTTGCTTCCTTTGTTCTTCCACAATGGTATAACTATTGCATGTTGCCAATCAATAGGGGCAGTTTGTTGTACACATGCTGCATTAAATATTCTGTGAAGCCATCTGATGCTGCTTTCACCTGCTGTTTGAATTATTTCTGTTGGTAATCTATCAGCTCCTGGTGCTTTAAATTTGGGAGACTGCTTAATGACTTTTTCTATTTCATCCATTAGTATGTGTGGTTCTAACACTGTTGCTCTGTGCTCTTCAGTTGTTCTTTCCTGATGATCTCCTAGAGGATTAAAGAGCTCATTGAAGTATTCCCTCCATCTTTCTGCTATCTCGGGTGGATCTATCAATGGCCTTCCTGTCTTATTATTAATTATTTCAGTGGGGTTGTAGCTCTCATCTCTTTTCCGCCTATTTTTAACTACTTTGAAAAATTTTCTGCTGGATGTTTTCTCATTTTCTGCTAATGACTCACCGAAACGTTCCTATGATGCTTGTTTTGCTTTCTTGACACTCCTGTTGGTTTCTCTCCTTTGCGGTCTATAGTTTATATAATCTTCTTCTTTCTTTGATTTTATCCACTGTTTATAATAAAAATATCTTAGCAATCTTGGTAATCTTAGTTTCAGCTTCATAGCAAATGAGTCACCCCATAGTTGCTCCCCTCCTGTGCCAACGAAAAACACACAGAACGTTGGTCGCAGTCCCTTGTGGAATATATCAATATCAGTTAAAGAAAAGTTTACATAGGGCTTGGCACAATCAGTGTTGAGGGCCTTGGCTTCACTGTGAGTTGAAAGATAGAAGAAGAGAAACAGAGAGAAGGAGGGTGAGAAGAAGGAGAAAGATAAAAAGGAGAAGTAGAAGGAGAAAGAGAAAAAGGAGGAGAAGTAGAGAAGGAGAACAACAACAACAACAACGAAAGGAAGCATCATAAGAACTGGAAAGAATGATTACACAAACATTATTTTAAACGATTCTTGTGTCCTTGAAGAAAAGAAATTAATTGCAATGTAACTTCTTCTTCTTCAGCATTCCCAGCCCTTGAGGTTTATTGCTGCAGATATCACCCGCCTCCATTCATCTCTCTGGTTGGCCTTCTCTTTCCAGTTGGTGACAACAAATGTTTGCAGGTCTGTCTGGACATTATCTCTCCATATGCCCCAACAATTTCAGTCTATTAGCTATCATGACACCAGTTATCAATGGTGATGTAAACAGATTATGAATTTCATTGTTGCTTCTCACTTTCCATTGCCCACTATTTGCATCTTTGATGGGTCCAAAGATTCGCCATAAGACTTTGTTTTCAAAGATCTGTAGTGAGGCTTCATTTCTTTTAGTTGTGCTCCGAGTTTTAGAGCCAGAAAAAACGACTGGTCTTATCAACGTTTTATATATTTTGATCTTGGTGTTGCTAGCCAGACACTTTGACTTTAGCAGTTGTTGAAGGACATTCATTCATTCATTCAGTAGCATGTCCCTCGCGGAACCTCGCTGCCATAACAACCCTCCGGAAAACCTTCCTATCATGAGCAAGATGTCCTGCGTCTGATACACCCATCTGGAGATCATCTGCCACATCCTGCACCCATCTTCTGTTGAAGGACATAGTATACTTTATTTCCAGATTGTATTCTAGATTGTTTTTCTTCTCTGAGCATATTGGAGCAGTTTGTTTGCACCCAAGTACTTTACACGTTTCTGTTGGTTTGATTTTAATATTATCGACTTGTATCTGGCCAGAGAAAAAGAGAAATTTGAAAATTTAAATCTAACAGAACCTATAATTTGCTATGGCAGAACCAGCAACATACTGTAATAGAATCAATGAAGATCTACTACAATAAACAACATGCTGTAACATAATCAATGAAGATCTACCAGAATAAACAACATGCTGTGACATAATCAATGCAAATATGTTTTTGTAGAAAACATAATCAAGTACCTTGTTGGTGTACTTGCCATAGAGCTTTCCATCACCAACAACAAATTCTCTCCTTCTTGTGACATCTGATGGTGACAGTTCTGCTGTTACATAGCCTGGCACCCCTGCGTATCTCCTAAGGACATTATTTAAACACCCTTTTAAATGTCAGTTCTAAACCGTACATGAAGACTGACTGACCTTCTACCCCACTAGGACATCACACAAGCGATAAACACCCGATGACACAAGGTGCCACCATGTGGATGAGGATCGCCGTGGAGAGGTCCCAGAAACCGCGTTCAAACAATTGGCCATATTTATGGCCTGCCTATATTGCGGCCCCTGGCAAAAGCAAGGGTGGGGCTTCAAATAACAAAAATTTTCTTCCTAAAAAGGACGAAACTGGATACAACCGTACATGAACAACCCATCCACACTGGACTACATTTTGACTGGTACATGTTTTGTGGTCATGTTTTGTTCTCATGGTCATGTTTTGTGGTCATGTTCTGTGCTGATGGCCATGTTTTGTGGTCATATTTTGTACTTATTGGTCATGTTCAATGTGCAATGACGATGATCTTTAAAATGAACAATGTTTTGTGATGTCCACTTAAAACTATGCAATATGGCTTCAGAGCTGAACAAGGTTTTGTGATGCCCCCTTAAAACTATGCAATATGGCTTTAGAGCTGAACAAGGTTCTGTGATGCCCTCTTAAAACTATGCAATATGGCTTTAGAGCTGAACAAGGTTTTGTGATGCCCCCTTAAAACTATGCAATATGGCTTTAGAGCTGAACAATGTTCTGTGATGCCCCCTTAAAACTATGCAATATGGCTTTAGAGCTGAACAAGGTTTTCAGAATTTGTAGCTGTTTGATTCTCATCCTTGAGCTTTGAAAGAAAAGGTGAGCTGCATTTTCTATTCAAGAACACTGCAAAACAAACATCAGCATTTACTGACTGCTTGTGGTTTGAGAGGCAATTTTACTTTCAGCAGTTTGCCATTGCTTTCCTAATTGTTACAACACTCATACCATTGTAGAAATGAAAACAAAGTGTTCTGCTGCCAAATAACCTGCAGCCGACTTTAAACAGTGATATGTCTAGACTGTTAAACTTCATTTATAACCCCTTAACTCTTTGAGTCCCAGAGTGTTTAGTACCAGAGGCCAAAGGGGTAGTAAAAAGAGACATAAAATTAGTGTATCATGTATTCACTGAACTTCTAGGTAGGAACTTATGAACTTATGATGTGTTCCTTTCCTTGGGACTCAAATAGTTAGGTTACGGACATTGATAAATATAATTTAATGAATGTATTTTGTTTTGATCTAAATATTTCAGACAATTTATTTTAAAATAATGTGGAGTAAGAAGCAAAAGAAATACATACATTCTATAAGATCTGAAAACACTTGCCTGTCAGTTCAGTGAGATGCGTAAAAATCTGCCTTTAGTAGGCACTTTTGAATAACTGGCTTGTTCTCTCAAGCTAACCCAGCCTAAAATGAGTCCTAGGAAATGCTCCAGGAAGTAAAGATGGAAATCATGATACTCATCACTGTATGTCACTCTCATTGTTGGCCGCTCAACATGATTAGAACCTAGTACCTTTCACAGTACATTAGGTAGAACCTAGTACCTTTCACAGTACATTAGATTAGAACCTAGTACCTTTCACAGTACATTAGATTAGAACCTAGTACCTTTCACAGTACATTAGATTAGAACCTAGTACCTTTTACAGTACATTAGGTAGAACCTAGTACCTTTCACAGTACATTAGATTAGAACCTAGTACCTTTTACAGTACATTAGATTAGAACCTAGTACCTTTCACAGTACATTAGATTAGAACCTAGTACCTTTCACAGTACATTAGATTAGAACCTAGTACCTTTCACAGTACATTAGATTAGAACCTAGTACCTTTCACAGTACATTAGATTAGAACCTAGTACCTTTTACAGTACATTAGGTAGAACCTAGTACCTTTCACAGTACATTAGATTAGAACCTAGTACCTTTTACAGTACATTAGATTAGAACCTAGTACCTTTCACAGTACATTAGATTAGAACCTAGTACCTTTTACAGTACATTAGATTAGAACCTAGTACCTTTTACAGTACATTAGATTAGAACCTAGTACCTTTTACAGTACATTAGATTAGAACCTAGTACCTTTTACAGTACATTAGATTAGAACCTAGTACCTTTTACAGTACATTAGATTAGAACCTAGTACCTTTCACAGTACATTAGATTAGAACCTAGTACCTTTTACAGTAAATTAGATTAGAACCTAGTACCTTTTACAGTACATTAGATTAGAACCTAGTACCTTTTACAGTAAATTAGATTAGAACCTAGTACCTTTTACAGTACATTAGATTAGAACCTAGTACCTTTTACAGTACATTAGATTAGAACCTAGTACCTTTTACAGTACATTAGATTAGAACCTAGTACCTTTTACAGTAAATTAGATTAGAACCTAGTACCTTTTACAGTAAATTAGATTAGAACCTAGTACCTTTTACAGTACATTAGATTAGAACCTAGTACCTTTTACAGTAAATTAGATTAGAACCTAGTACCTTTTACAGTACATTAGATTAGAACCTAGTACCTTTTACAGTACATTAGATTAGAACCTAGTACCTTTTACAGTACATTAGATTAGAACCTAGTACCTTTTACAGTAAATTAGATTAGAACCTAGTACCTTTTACAGTACATTAGGTAGAACATTTGACACTACATAATTTTTATCTTTTAAGATAACAGAATATCTTGAAGATTGCACAATGTCTGTTTTCTTATGAATGATAAATCAAAAACTGACATCACTGCACTCCAGACACTTCCAGACATGCTCCGTCTCCTTCCTCAGTAGCCATTAAAGAGTCCACATGCTAATAGTGCCCGTCACAATCTGATTAAACGTCCATATATGTTTTTTCCCTGAGTATTGAATATCATCAAGAGCCCCTGACCACCCCTGCTGAATTAGTCTTTCAAAGTATAGATGCTCAGCTTGTTCAGCTGTACTGTCCACTTGAGTTTTAATATAAAGTAGCTACCCACCAAGAGGAGCGGCAGCAGCTAATATATCAGGTTGTTCATTACCCTCCACACCAGAATGTCCCAGACAGAAAATCCATGACATGCTCCTGATCCCAGCCACTCTATGCAAAGGCCGCCTGTCTTCTTATACACCGTGCAGTTAAATTCAAGCCTTAGCCATGAAACATTTAATGAAGAAAAGATTCAGAATGATAAACTCACTTTGTTCTATTGTTAGCAGAAATCAGGTGAGCTTGAATCTCATAACTTGTGATTGGCACATCAAAAGACACAACAGGCTCAATTGCGATAGTGATATTTGTGTAGGTTGATCTTACAAAAACAGGAGCAACAGGAGCTGGAGGTGTTCCTTGTTCTAAACAAAGCAACAACAACAAAAATCCATATAGTCTCAGTTTAAATGAAAATATAAAAAAATTAAGATGCCAGTACTCATCAGAAAGTGTTTATTAAACACTGCTGAAAAAAAGGTGCAAGTACTAAGTACCAATGCATACCAAAAAAAAAAATTGCTTCAGTCAATATCCTGAAATTCATTGTTATGTGTTTTAACGATTGATCTTGGCAATCCTGTTTCTCCACATCTTGTGATCTAAAACAATCTTATTAAATAATGACCCACAAGCTTCTCAAAAATGATACTAAAAGGCACTCTGTAGAGGAGAATAGGCAGACTAAGAAAGACCTGCAGACATCATTTGGCTGAAAGGACAGGCCTCAGACAGGCAAACTTCAGGTCAATTTCATCTGACAAACAGAGCTGAAGAGAAATGATCAGTCAACAGCAACTGGTGACCCAGCATGGGAGGACAGGATTGTTAGTTTGGTTGTTTGTTTGTTTGCTTGTTTTGTTTTAGTATCCAGAAGCCATGAGTTGTTAACCCTTAGGCTTGATATTATGGGTGCAACCTTTCGGCCTTGATTCCATTGTAAATACCGTAAATCTGGGAGAAATGTGGCTTTTCTGCCTACCCCCGGGAGTGAACCCGGACCACAAGGAGTTCGTCACCCGGTCACCGCGCAATCCGGTTTAGCCAACTAGGCTAGAGAGCCGGGCTGTTGGTTTGGTAAACACACTTACTGCTACACTATCAAGGTCCATCAAAGGGCAGTAAATACGTTTGTATCTTCTTCTTATTGGCCTTCACTAGCTGTAAACTCCTGCAGAAAGTTCTGGTGTTTGTCCACTTCTGAATTTTAGTCTTGTATCAGATTGAGTTTTGCATATACATCCATTTTACAACTCTGGCTTATTTGTGAAGCTGACAGTTGGTTTCTTGCCTCTTGGAGAGATACACTCCAACTTTGAAAGAAACAGCCCTAATTAGTCAACTTTATGACATGTTTGTTAGGGAAGCCATGGGTCTTTTCTGGTTTTTCTCCCTGAAATGGGGCCCCGGTCACACTTAAATTAGTCATCCACTTGTGGGATGCAGTTTTTCATTATATTGAAGCCCCACCCTGGCTCTTGATAGGGGCTGCAATATAACCCAGCTATAAATATGGCCTAATGGCTGAATGCGGTTTCCAGGACCTCTCCTTGGGTGATCCTCATCCACATGGCACTTTGTGTCACAAGGTGTTTATCGCTTGTGTGATGTCCTGTTGGGCTAAAATGTACTACTACTAAATGGGGCCCTGGAACCCACATGGGAGCATGTTTATATGAAAGTATAATATATAAAAAAAAAGTAAAGTATGAGGCTTTACTGGTACTGTAGTTATCTGTGGCAAACGAGACCACGCCATCAATGTTGGTTCCGGAAACTGTCACTTTGTACAGGGTGCTGGGCTGTAGCTGGCACATCTGGTAGGAATTCTGGGAGACAGGAATGTTGGCTGTGATTGGTGGAGTCGTGATGTCTGCTGTCACTTTTCTGACGTCCAGCTGGGGGAAAGAGAAACATGGATGAAACTGTCATTACTGTTCGCCTTAAGTGCCTGTATTTAGCATTTGCAGCGCAAGCGGCAAGGGTGGATGGGGTGGGTTTGGTGGCAGGGGTGGATCTGTCATCCTGAGGAAACAGCAGAAAACAAGCTGGGAATAGACAGTCCAAGAGAACTAGAAGGAAGGATGAAAAGTACATCACAAGAACACAAGTCTGCATATGAGGTTTCACAAATCTTAAGAAGGAAAATGGTATCCAAATAACTTTAAATATTCAAATACAGATTATGCAAAACAATTTTCACAGTCACTTGAAAAGTACATTTTAAATATATTAAACTTAACAATACATCCTACAATTAATACACTATCTATGCAATATTAAATAATGAAAAGTAACTGACATGCTCAGATATAATATACTGAAATAGAAGAAAATATATATATATCAAAATTATAACTAAGACGGCTCAAATAGGATATAGCTGTTTAAATTACCACCACTACATCCCCATGTGTGGGTTTAGGGTCTCCAGTTTTGAAAACAAAGAATAGACTCACTGCCCCCTAACAAACATGTCATAGAAGGCAACCAATTACGGGTCTCCTTTAAAGTCAGAGTACATCTAACTGACAGGCAAGTAACCAACAAGTCGTAAAAAAATTAAGCCAGATCTGTTCAAATGGATGTACATGCACAAATCAAGTTCTGGATCAAGATCAATTTCCAGAAGTGAACAAACAAACCAGAACTTTCTGACGAAGTTTACAGCTGGTGAATGCTAGCTAAGAAAAATACCACTAGAATTCAAACCAGTTATTATCACTCACCACAAATCCTGAAACAGAAGGAAGTATAGACACTGGTGTAGTCCACTCTACTGTAAGGCAGCTGTTTGTCTGAGCTGAAAGTTTTATACTCATAGGTTTAGGAGGAGGCGGAGCCAGTAGAGTCTTGGTTTGTTTGACAGATCCAAACTGGCCAATACCTGCTGATGTGCTTGCTGCCATCTTGAACAGAAGTCAACACAGATTGTTTACAAATATCACAGTAAAAGTAAGCTTGCTACATTCAAAATGCAAAGTGATTTCATTAAACAAAGCAAAATAAATCAAATAAAGCCAGGTAATGTTAAAAAATTGCTATCTGAAAATAAATTGTAAATTATTCTGGATGCATACTGGACTTTAAAAGAAAACTTTCATAGAAAGACAAAGGTTTATATTTTCTTAATTATTTTATAAAATGTATTTTGTTTTTTAATGTTCAGTGTAGTCTGTCATCTCATCTGAGAATACTGCATAGAAAAATCATGGAAGGACAGAAAAACAAACAAGTCAGTCCTTCTCAAGATTGATGAAAGTCATAAACTGATAAAAGAAATTAGACGTAGACTGTGTGCCAGATGTGTTGACTGATGAGCCTATTCCCACAATTGGTGTGCCATGTCCTTCTGGACTCAGAGTTTACTCCTTATAATAAGCTAAAAAATCTTTCCTGTCAAAGGTTAATTTCTTAAATCAGCTTCCAGCTTTCATCCACCTCAAAAACCTTAGCTTGATCAGAGAAATTAAATATATACATCAAGATGGTTTTATACATATCATGTTCAAAGAATAAACTTAAAATCTTGTGACAAAAGATAAGAAACAAAAGCAAGGGTAAAGTATCTGGTAATTTTTTTAATGTCTTCTGTCCAATTCTTTTGTTATGTTAATCCATTCTATTACTATGGTGTAGTGATGCTTAAAAATAGGTATAACATAAGGTGTTTGACTGGTTGACAGATTGGGGAAGTCCCTAGATTTAGAGACATGAAGTCGACATGAGAATGGCAAAACATGAGATTGTGTGAGCTCACCTGGGAACACGAGGTCGGGGGAATAGCTGACTAGGAAATCATTCTGTGACAGGACCCCAGAGAGCTAGGAGTGAAAATGGATCCAGAGGGAAGTGGAGTAAACGCTGATCCTGAATGGCAAGGAGTGAAAGCTATGAAGTTGTTGTTGCAGCAAAGCCACATTGAAGTCAAGCTGAGGACAACAGAAGTGTCCTACTGATTGCTGATTGTGGCAATCGTGTGTATGCCAGCGTCGACCGTGGTGTGGCTGTATACACAAAGTGCGAGCAAGCGGACCCTCTCTGGATGGCGTAAGTGTTAGGCTGTTACACTGCTTCTTGTCGCTTTTGTTGTATTGTGAATAAACATGGAACTGTAGCTAACCCTCATCAACTGTCATTTGGAGATGTGTGGTAGTTTGTCGGAAGAGAAGTCTGCCTATCTGATTTGTGAACCTGAACCCTAGACAACAGCCTGTGTCAAGTGTGTATGAGAGAGAGCAGGTACAAAAGAGACACATCACATATGGTAAATTAAACTTTAATGTTCCTAGTTGTGTGAAATTAATACCTTAGGATTGAAAGTTCATGATTCATTTTAGAAAACATACTGAGAGTAGATAGCTCTAGGGAACTACACGGAAGGATTGAACAGTTCATAACCAGAACAGGGGTTAGCTTATGAGGTGTTAATATATCTTAAGAATAACGGTATCCTAGATCACTTTCAATATCTGCAAAGAAAAACTACACAGTATCATTCCTATAACTGTTTGAAAGTACAAGTAAAATACATAGAACTTGGCAATCTATACTACAATCTTACACAATTAATACATGACCAATGCAACATGAAATAACTAAACATAACCAATGGGCATAAATTTCTGTTACACAAATAGAAAAAAAACAACTCTAGATATCCCAATTATAACATAGATGGGTTAAACAGGATTGACTGGCACCTTTTTGTCTTTCCAAATGATAGTGTTATATTGCACAATGAGGAGGCATGAGACTCACAGCCCATGGTGATGGTGAGTGTGACTAGCAAGACCCATCCGCGTTAAGAAAAGTCAAAGTCTTCCTCAATTCATCCTTTCTATAGCACAAAGCCTGGGCAGTATTGTAGAGACCATATGTTGCCCATGCATCATAATCCCTCACTCGAACTGCTTTGTTTACCCCAAAGGAAAGGTAACACCAGTACATTTGAAACAAAGCAGGCTGCAGAAGCTGCCAGATCAGCAGAGCAGTGCTCTATCTGTCTGCCTGTATAAGTTTCACTCCTATACCTTCTGCCAGCTGCCGGCTAAGGGCCTGGTCTGCCCTGCCATAACAAAGTTTTTAGGTTGCATTTCATCTTAGGATAAAGCTAGTATCCTCCCTAATGCGCTCCTCCTTCCGAGTCCATTTGCACAAAATTGGAAGTCAGGTTGAACAGGATACTGCTACTTCATTAATCGAAAGAGCCCACCATTTTAAACAGAAAATGCTCATGAAACAACTGACTGCAACTAAAAAAGTGAAACAAGTCTTAATCTATTTGATCACCAAAAAAACAGACAATACTGCAAAATATTTATCTATGAGAAAAAATATTCCTACCTTCAAATAATACACCGTTTCTGGGCTCAGTCTCTCAACTGTCACGGTGAATCTGCCAGTCATTGCTGCAACAGTTGTTGACTCGGCCATGCTAAAGTTACTGTTGTTACTGGCAAACATAGTGGTGTATGTTGTGATGACACCATTGGTTACTTCTGGTGGTAGGAAAGTCACAGTAATGGTCGAATAAGTCGGAGTAAGCTCGGTAATTTCAACTGGTCCAGGTACTGGAGATAAAACACGAGATATTGTCAACTCCTTCATAACCAAACAAAGCACCATGTGTGACTATACTTACTAATAAGCACCAGAATATTATGGTGCTTAAACATTTTATGTTTAAACTGCTTCTTTTTCTTCTTCTTTGTGTTCAGTTTTGTATGCTCAGGTCAGACCGTGAGGTGGGTTATGTGTCAGTAGCAGGTCCTGCATGATTCTCCCAGCTTGCTCTGCACACTTTGCTCTTAAGGCCAGGTTTCTTTTTGAAAATGTAGGTACAGTGGGTAAGTCTGCAGAATGTGTTCAGGTGTTTGTGGTCCTGTATGGACAGGCACACTGTGTAGTCTTTATTGTGTGCTTGTGATAGTTGAGCCTGCAGTGTCCTGTTCATAGACTTTTCTTTAAACAAAATATAGTAAAAGACCCAATACCACAAAGGTCTCCTACAAGGCTTGTGTATTTAGCTCCTGTGGATGTAGTAAGCCCATGAGTTTGTTGCTGTCGATATTGCCTAAAACAACAAACACCAAGAGAGATCCTGCATAGAACTATCATCAGGGAAGGCTCAACCATGGGCCTAATGAACATGAAAGACCTAAAACAGGTGGCAATGAACCGCCAGATATGGAGAGTTATAACCACTGCCCTATGCGCCACCCTAGGCTCAAGAAGAAAGACTAACTAACTAACTAACTAACTAACTAACTAACTAACTAACTAACTAACTAACTAACTAACTAACTAACTAACTAACTAACTAACTAATTATTGCCTCATTTAGACATCAGCTGTAACCTTCTTGACTGAAAGTTAAAAAGTGATGAAAACTGGAGTGACTGCAGTCAAACTAACACCAGTAAATTAATCCACTGAGCTGTGATCAAGAAGCTTAACAAAGAGGTGGGGACAAGATGACTATCTATGTTGTGACTGTTGGCTAGGATACTGTCCTTCTTGTTGCTGTGGTGTATTGTGTCAAAGCCAGACTGCAGCCAAAATGTCAGATTTTTGTTGTGTGTGCACTGTTCCCTTGCAGACTTTGTTAAGCTGTTTAGTTACAGCACAGTGGATTAATTTACAGGATTTTGTTAACTTTGTTGCTACCAGGCAACTCACTGTGAATTTGTTGATCACTATATACAAGGGTTAAATTTTATTGCTACTACAATTACATTCATATCTTATACTGATTCACTGTATCTAAGTTTTATTAACTCGTTCTGTTCCATTGTATTATTTCAACTTTCCAAGAGACAACATAATATTACTTGAAAATTAATAAATAATAAGTATTTAAGTATTAACTACTAGGTAAAGAAAAAGTTAAATAACAGACATATGACACAGAAAAGTAAATCAAGTAAATAACTCTTTTCACTGTCTTAATGGGTAAGTAATGCTTGTTTCATATTTTTATAGATTATTTCATACTTGATGGGTTAAATACTAAAACGTTAAATTGTGTAAAATATGCTATAGAGTGTCTCTGCCATTGCTGGTTTCAAGCTCAGATAAGATAGAAAGAGGGTTAGAGCATAACTCTTTTCACCGTCCTAATGGGTAAATAATGCTTGTTTCATATTTTTATAGATCATTTCATACTTGATGGGTTAAATACTAAAAGGTTAAATTGTGTAAAATATGCTATAGAGTGTCTCTGCCATTGCTGGTTTCAAGCTCAAATAAGAAAGAAGGAGGGTTGAGCAAACGGCCAATTTCCCCACACTATTTTAAAAAATACTACAGAAACTAGTAGAACAGGAAACCATTCTGGCAAAATAATTAACCAAGTAGTAAAATCTACATTTGGAGACTGCTGACAAAAGCTGCCCTGCAGATATCAGTGGTCAGACATGCACACTGATTGGCTCAAAATTAAATAATGAGATCGGTTTCTGGAATGCGAGGATTTCCAAAACAAACCACAAGATGAGCATTGTTTGCCTGGATTCCATCCATGATACTGAATCAACAATACACAATACGCTCGCCGCAGATTGGAAGGTCGTGGGTTCGCTCCCTGGAGAAGCCGACATTTTTCAAAAAATGACCTTGGCTCACAGGTCGACCCAGCCTTGAATGGGTACCTGGTGTATTCGCGGGAAGTAAAGGTGGCTGGTGTGATGCTGACCACATCACCCACCTTGTGCCGATTGGTCTATAAAAATATAGGTCTAGCCCTATATGCCCTAAAGGCCTAAAGATGTGGAAAAGGGTTGTTTACTTTATTTACTTATACACGATAGAATGGAATGAAAAAATAAACTTTGAGACATACAACAGCACAAAGGTTTGATAATGATGGAGATGATAATGCTGAAGAGCTGAAATGAGTCACTGTTGTGAAATATGCTGAGGAGTTTAAACAAATCTTTATGTCAGTTTAAAGACAAACATACTGCAGTAATTTTTTTAATAAATAGATATAAGGCAACTAATTTTATATATTTTTTTTAAAGATGAACAAGGAAGAAGAAGAAAAATCTACATAATGGGAATCTAACAAAGGGTCTTGGTGTGATTCAGTCCATACCTCCATTTACAGATGAAAGTCAAAAGAAAAAGTTAACAGAAAATTAACAAATAACTCCTCAGAAGAAAGTTCTGCCCGCACTGGGAAACCCTGCTCCAGACAAAATTGCACAGGTCCCATAAAACTAAGCAAGAAGGCAAACCCAGGCAATGAATGTCACATGAAACTAAGCAAGAAGTCAAACCCAGGCAATGAATGTCCCATGAAACTAAGCAAGAAGCCAAACCCAGGCAACGAACATCCCATTAAACTAAGCAAGAAGTCAAACCCAGGCAATGAATGTCCCATGAAACTAAGCAAGAAGGCAAACCCAGGCAATGAATGTCCAATGAAGTCAGATGTTTTAACCAGAAGGCACAAATATGGCAGCTATGCTGTAAAACTGGTATAAGGCAATTATGTTACTCTGATGAACAACGAAGAAGAAATAACACTGACCATCTTCTCCTGTGGTGAACATAAATTGTTGACCCCAGTGACCTGCTCCTGCCACATTCGTATAGCGGATCTGCAGTGAATAGTTTGTGTAAGCGGACAGATTCACCAACCTCAGTCGGGATGAGTTTGTGATGTAAGTCACTGAAGTAGCATTCACGTCATCAACATCCGTAACTAACAACTCATAGGATTTCAATGGACCTGGATAGAAAAATAACAAATATTTGCTTTATATAACTGTCTGCTAAGGTGTTGTGAATATGCTTTATAATTCCACTTCTGGACTTAAGACTTGTTGCAGAACTTGAGTTTTGTAGGCACATCTATTTTACAGTTTTAACTAATTTGTATGCAGACTGTTGGTTAATCACTTCTCAAGCAGATGTATTCTGTTTGAACACAATATTCTGGTTAAATTTTAATATGTCTGCAAATTTTAATTTTTTTTTTCAAACGATCCAGGCTAAATATTACATACTTATATAATCTGTGTCGGCTCTGTGGCTAAGTCAATGCGAACGCTTTGTAATGCTGAGATTTAAGGTTCGATCCCAACTGCGGGCCATGTGCCTTGCATTGGTTTCACCAGTGGTATCAAGAAAGCCGACCGTCCAGAAGCAATGGCAAACTACTGGACATAAATTTGCCTAGAAAAACCACACAACAGCCAGGGGCTGTTGGGGTTGATTCTGCAACTCCTGTAAAGGATACGCAACTAACCTATACCATCTGTAATTAATTATTATTATTTTGTTTTATCTGTTTTACTGATGACTGGGAAGATCAACGGTAGAAGTGAGAGACAGACAGAGAGATGATGATGGATGGACTGCGACAGTGGCATGGAGGGATATCATTGGTGGAACTGATCCAGAGGACAAGGGACTGAGATGCATGAATGCCTGCGCCAGTCAGCAGGGCACATGATGATTTTGATTTGTTTTACACAATATTTGAACCCGACGATGCAGTCAGTTCACTTTTGTGTTGTGTTATATTTCTTGTTCTGCTGATGACACTAATCACTGTTATATCCTTTGTTTATCATAACTTTTTGGTGACCGACGCTCAACACTCAGGGGAAGGAGGAGATGGATATACAATCAAACGGCTACACTGCCATCGAAACTGGAACTTTTCACTTGCTGCTGAAGATGGGGATGAAACACTTATGGGAGTGTCCCAAGTGCTGCGATGTCAATTCTTAATTCATCATTCAACATTAAAGTTTTTAGTAATATAAAAAAAAAAAAATCTTTTATAAGACTTTCTGCTATAAAGACATTAGAGTTCATCATATGAAAATGTGATTTATTACAAAAGACAACAATCACAAAAAGAAGAACAATTTATCTGTAAATGAAACAGCATCATACCTTTCCGTTCATTGCAGGGAAGTGGTTTCCATGACAATACTGCTTCTGTTGATGTGATGCTGTCATAACTAATGTTGGTGACTGTACCATTGGGTACTGCAATATGAGAGTTAACTATGAGCAGCTGTGTGGTCAATGGAGTCTAGACTACAAGAAAAAGACATCCTAACACACATACAGGTGTTACATGTACAACAGAGCTCAACAACAAGACAGTTTAACAATCTCAAGCTGGTACTACAGGTAACAATAAGATATAATATTCTTCTCCTTTTTCTCCTTCTTCCTCTTCCTCCTTTTTTTGTCATTAACAGGGCATATGCCTTCAAACACATCATTACAAGCAATCCTACCGTTTTTATCTACTACCCTTGTCTTCCCCATATACTCACCTATATCTCTAAAAATGGCACATAAAGGGAAAACAAATGGATTGTACAGGTAAGGATGTTCAAGAGTACTCCATTAGGAAGGTTGTTAGAGGGACCATAACAGCAGGACGATATCAAAAGGAATGCACAGGAAAGAATGGAATGGTGAAATGAGCTGTGAACCCTATATGATGAATAAATGATAAAATAATGATGAAGTTTTTGAAAAACGTGATTACTCACAAACAGGAAGAGTTGTCACATTCTGACTGAAGGTCTCTCTAAGTTGGGCAGACACAGCAATGGCTGAAACTGTGATGTTGTAGGTGCTCCAAGTCAACAAGTCATCAAAAGTATAAGGAGAAGAGTTAATTTGTAGTGATTCAATCTGAAACATCAACCAAAAAAACATTTTAAAAGTTCAAAGAGAAACTGCAAGGGTTGGGGAATATTGAAAGAATGGTAGATAATAGAGAGACAATTCTGTACACACAAGTGTTGAATGGGTGTAGACGATAAGGTGGACCAAGAAGACAGTGGAGAGACATTACAGAGGCAAACCTACAAACACTTAAAATCGCCAAATGGAAAGAGAAAATCAGTCATAAAAATAAATGGAGTGAGACAATATCTGCAGCAATGAACCTCAAGGGCTCAGAATGCACAAAAAGAAGTAAATATAAAAGATAAATACAAAAGAAGTGGTTAACTCATATTACAGTCAATATTGTGGCTATTAACTCTTAGAAACCAAAGTCAGAACTTTGAGCTGGCAAATGTAATCAAATAATCAGAGTAACAAATTTCCTGAGCTTAGTTTCATTTTTTTAACTGTTGTACATTTATATTATATTATTGTTATACAGCATTGGCTGAAACTGTGATATTAACTTTTATCATGTCTTTATATTTATGTTTTACATCAATATATTTGGATGGGGGGGGGGGGGGGGGGGGAGAAACAAATTATATATGAACATTTAAGGAGGACAAACACACATCAAAAATGAGAAAATCCATTGGTTCTTTAAGAGTTAAAATTGGGATAGAATAAATTATTTTCCTTCCTTTGAATATTTATTCTTTATCTTTCTGTTCTTCCTTGTTTGCACTGAAAAATATTTAGTTTTTGTCCATTCACAGCGAAGCTGCCATATTTGAATTTTTATAATAACATGTCTTTCTGAGTTACATATATCTTTGTTACCTGGAGTTGTCTTCTAGCTTTGATCTAAACTCTCTCAGACAGACTAGCTTCAGTGATGTATCATGTTTTCCAGATCATCACTTGTAGTTGGAGCAGGGTAGCCATTAGTTTTGTCTCACTGACCCAGACAGACTCAGTCAAGCTATTACATGCTGTACTAAAAGTCGTGACCTCAATCTTCAACAAATACCTCAAAAAGTCCTGTATGGATCAACACACATTTTTGCATGTGGTCTTATATTTCTCATGTGCTTATGATTTCCTAATTTACAAATGCACAAGTGCTGCTGTTTTCTAACAGCAGCAAATTTGTAAAAAAAAAAAAAAATTTATTGTTGGACTAATAATTTGTGCACCCCTTAAAAATTAAAAACAAATAATACGAAAATTTAATTTTTTTAAAATATACAGTAATTGATATAAATCATATACTTTTTATGAGCTAGCCAGCATGCATTATAGCAGTAGCTGATGTATCCACTTCACTGTTAAAAATAAACAGGCCTTAGTTTATCAAAAGAATTACCTCCAAAATGTGTGCAGTCTGATGTTTTGACAGCTTCACCTCAAGCATTTACTGTAAACATGCTAATTGTATGCCTTGAATCAGTGTCTGTTTTTCATACACCACAAACAAGACAAAATTAAAACTGGATGTTAGTTTGCATTATATCTATTGTCCTACAAGGACATGATTATTCATTAACAGGCTGTACGCCAGATGTCAATAATTTACACCAAAAGGTTACTGAGTTAAGGATTTTTACAGCTGAGCATGAATTTTGGATCAGACTATAACTGTTGATGCATTTATCTCTTTCGCTTCAGCCCTGATAGCAAACCAGTCTAACAGAAAAATTTTAACATTACCTCTTCTGGAGGTCCTCTCTCACTGTCACAGTCACCATTTCCTAGGAGCTGTTTTGTCAGCGTGACATTATACTCATAACCTTTGAACTCTGGCAGCAGACGCCACAGAACTGTCACGCTGGTGCTGTTTATGGCTGACACAATAACTTGATCAAACACTTTTCTGGCTGAGATGGACAAAAATGGGCAAGCGATTACACTTGTGTTTTATTAAGTAGAATTCAATGTGATTGTGATACAAATAATCAATGAAATATAATTGTTAAATGAAGTCATGATGATTTACAGCTTACTGACAAGGGTGAATGGAAAGAGAGTAAAAAATATAAAAGTCAGACATTCAGTTCAACTACTCTTAGCATGACAGTGGAGACAGCAGCTGTCACAGGGGCACTTATACAGCTGGCAGAGCAGAAAGCAGCTCAGGCATTGATAGTGACAGACACAATGGGCATGCTTAAGAAGATCCAAACTGGCAAACTGACTAGAATGGGTTGACAGTATCCACAAGTCTCACCTCAGGAAACCATCTTGGCTGTACTCATCGGGACAAGCCAGTGTGAAAGGAAATGAAGGAACTGACAGACTGGCCATGTTTGCAGTGGCTGATGGAGGAATAAGTATGGACAGAGCAGACATAATGAATGTGCTGCATTCTAGACACTCTGAGATGAAGGAGTCAGAAATGAATGATCTTCTAGAAATGAGTACGAAACTACGACAAGCATGCAGAAACCAGTTGTGGGGCAAAGAAAAAAGATACACCAGTAAAATTCCACTGGGCACATTGACCAAGGAAACACTTCATCTCAGATATACTGAAGAAAGTGGCAAAGTTTTCTGTTTATATCTTTATTAACTAGGTTTGTCTTCTGGCTTTGATCTAAACTCTCTCAGACAGACTACTTTCAGATGGCATGTCTGACTTCAGTATATTTTTATTAACTAGGTCTGCAGTTGAACAAATAAATCACTCAAGCCACTCGAGAAGCCCAAGACAAATACAAAAAAAACCACAACACTAGGCTATAACCTGGTAATGGTGAGAAAACAGAAGAAGAAGAAAAAAGAAGAACTAGGTATGTCTTCTCTCTTTTTGTCAGTGAGTTAGTTCTAAGACCCAGCTACTAGAATGTAGTCTACTTAACAATGAACATTTCTTTAAGAATGTGTTCTAGATAGCTCTACAGAAGTATGTGATATTTGAATAAATGTATCTGATACGGAAGCTGTTCATTCATTTTTTTGAAAACAAGACACATTTTCAAGACTGCTAAAGAGACCAGAGAGAAACGGTACAACTTATAGTCCCATCCTGGCGCGATTCCTTATCTTAATCACAAAAAGAAATGCAATATATGTAAAACAAAATGCTGA